CTTTTTTTTTTTTTCTTGCGTTATGCGGGCCTCTCACTGTCGTGGCCTCTCCCATTTGCGGAGCACAGGCTCCGGACGCGCAGGCCCAGCGGCCATGGCTCACGGGCCCAGCCGCTCCGCGGCATGTGGGATCCTCCCGAAACGGGGCACGAACCCGCGTCTCCTGCATCGGCAGGCGGACTCTCAAGCACTGCGCCACCAGGGAAGCCCTAGTTAATGTAAATTCTTGGGATTATGTACACAGTGTAGGAATAGTTGAGTGGGTGCATATGCATTGTTTACAGGTTGAGACTTAACTTCCTGTCAATTTTGACCTTCCTGGTTCGGGGGGACATGAAAAGCCAGCCAGTCGACTGCTTCCAAGATTTTGTTTTGTTTTGTTTTGTTTTTTAGTGCTCCATCGTTTTAGAATATTCAACAGCAGGCTTTGGCTGAAAAGCTGAAACTGTAGCTAGACAAAGCTTATAATAACTAGCTTTCTTAAAAGCATTTGGTAGCTTTTGAAAGGTGCTTATTTTTTTTTTTAAACATCAAAAGTTTTTCTTCAGAAAATGTTGAAGTAGAGGCAAAAAAAAATCCAAATTGATTGAAACTTTTCATGAAGACACTTTATATTTTGCTTTTTTCCCTATATCTGGAAATACGTGTAACAGACGGTGCATACTCTAGCATTTCGTAGATGTATTAATAGTTCTTTATTTTTTTAATCAATTCCAGAATGTACCTGTTTGTTTCTTTCTCTGGGGTGGGGGGTTGTGTCCCCAACTCAGAACTCTAAGGTCTTTAATTTATGTAGAGAAGCCTGTTGTACCCCCAATAAGGACACAAGTTTATGTAGTAATGCTGAAAGAGAAAACTCACCCATATTTCCACCTTGGAAGACCTGGCATCCTCCTCTCCCTAATTGTGGGTGGTGAGAGGGGTATAGCTTCTTTATGTTCTACCACTGTATGTGCATTTCATGTTTCTGCTGAGGCATACATAGGAGGGAGTGGGTACGAAGTGTAGGACATGGTAGGAACATGGAGTGGGGTGGCAGTGGTGGTGGTGAAAATAAAGCTAAAAATGTGCTGAGTGTGAGGGGTTGGCAGAAGATGAAAATCAAGAAGAGGAGTTTGGGGTGGGCGGGGGTCGAGATGGGACCAAGAGCTGAGCATTCTGGGCAGGGAAGAGATTCTGTTGCCTGCATCTTGGCATGAGAAATGCCACCCTTTTTCCTTCTGTCCAGGCACCCAGCCATTTGGTTTAGGCAAGAGGTTCACACTAGGATTTGTGCTGAGGAGGGGCAGGGCACCAGGTGTGTGATGGTGCAGAGGGGGGAGGGTCCACAGTGCTGTCTGGTCAGGATAGCTGGAAACCCTGCAGACATGAGGACCATCCTAGTTGTGAATTCACGTGTGCAGGGTGTCTGTGGGTCAGTCTTCTTGCTCATTTCTATTCTGGGTGTCAAAAAGAAAGTGAAAACCTGTTCCTCTGAAGTGAGTATCAATAATCTGAATTTACTGAGCTGTTTGCCCATTTCAGAATAAGCCTGCCCCCCCCCCCCCTTACCCTCATCCCCACCTGCCTTTGGAGTCCTGGTTGGTTATGCCCCTGCCATTTGACTGGTGTGGACTCCATTATGTGATGCCTTCCTCGGTGGCCAGGAGTCCTGTTGACATCCTGTCTAGAGTTTAGGGCTCCCCCTGGGGTAGGAATGAGGACAAATTTGGGATTTTTATTGGGCAAAGAAAAGAGGTTATAAAATAGTTCCCACTGTCAACTTTTCTCCCCTTGCCCAAGGCAGAATTGGCTTTCTTAGGGGAGGAGGTATTCTTATGCTTGGCTGCCAGCTGAGCTAAATTCAAGCAGAGTGTTTGATATTGTTGGTGTAGCCTGCAGTCTGCAGATGTGCTTACTCTCGAGACCCTAACTCCTGGATTCAGCATCATCAGTCTCCATGCAGACTGAAATTATGACATATCCGGGCTGTGAATACACACCAGGAGTTTCCAGAAGTTTCACCTAGAATTAAGAAGCAGGATACATTTCCCCTTTTTTGGGCGTCGGGGAAAGGGGCATAGTTCATGCTTGCAGGCACATGGTCTTTTGTGGCTAGCCATGAAGCCGGTGGAAGCCCCAGGAGAGTTATCTGTTGGTTGATGAAGCGGTGGTTACCTAACAAAATTTAACTTGATGATTAGTAAACGATGGTGTGTTTTGTAATCCCCATGGAATCCTTTACATTTCAATGGGGTTAATTAAGTTTGCCATGTTAAAGTACACATTTTATGTCCAGGTCACTGAATCTAAAGGCGAGGCTGGAGCAAACTAAAACTAATTGAGTTTGAGTATTAACCCAAGCATGTACAGATGCATGCTTGATGGACTAAATCCTAATTTCTAGGGTTTCATAGTAGCAGCATTACTTAAGTTTTAATTTAAAATTTGGGCATATACTTCCCATATTTCCTTTGGGCATTTTTTAAAAGTCTCTAAGACACTTTACTGGATGCTGTCAATAATAGCATTTCAGTAATCCCCAGACCAACAAACTATTGACGACAGGCCCTCATGAAATGCTTTTGAAATTTCCCACAGACTCATGAAATATCAAGTTATTCCTAGATGTTTGAAATACCCTTTCCAGACTAAGCTGCCTCACTTTATGGTTGTGTTGCTCCATAAATTCTTGACTCTTAGCTCTCTGAAATTTAAATCAAAGTAAAAAAAAAAACCAGTGAGCACTTTGAATATATCCATTAACTTATAAGCAGTTGTATTTATGTGTAATCTGCTTATTTTAGCCATCTGGGTAGTGGGATATATGATATGGGCAGATGAACATTTTTATTATAAGCAAAGAACCTGTTTATTAAAGTGTACATTAACCCGGAAACATCTTTATGGAAAGAGATTCTACTTTATTCAGTATTCTAAAATATTTTGGAAAAACAGCACTTTCTACTCTGACAAAAAGAGTGACTTAATGAGGTCCTCAAACAAAATACAATCCCCTTTTTCCTGTCAAATGATCCTAATAAGCTATGTGTCATATAGAGTAAGTTCTTCACAAATAAGCTTCCTATTGCTAAACCAACATATTGTTTAAGGGGAAAATGTCACCCACAAAACAATACCTCTGCCTTAAGGGAAAATAGAAAACTAGATAAATTAGGGAGGGTTATTAGATTATAATAGGATTCACAGCTATGTTTCTTGGAATTAGGGGCAACCATAATCCATTTAAGTTTGCTTCCTTCCATCTATCATTAGCTACTTGAGCAAGCTTTGATGGGGAGGGGTGAGAAAGTTTTAGTCTTATGAGTCATTGCTTGGTGAAGTCTCAAAATACGACGAAACGTTTTTTTCTAGCAGTGTGGTTAGCAAGTAAAACTAACACATATGAAACAGCAGAATAATTAAATGCAGAACTATCTTACTGGGAGGAGTGAATCTTTTTTAGATATATGTTTAAGTAAATATTGATGTCTTATGTTTTTTTGTTCTTTTGTTTTTTTGTTGTTTTTTTTTGCGGTACGCAGGCCTCTCACTGTTGTGGCCTCTCCCGTTGCGGAGCACAGGCTCCGGACGCGCAGGCCGCTCTGCGGCACGTGGGATCTTCCTGGACCGGGGCACGAACCCGTGTCCCCTGCATCGGCAGGCGGACTCTCAACTACTGCGCCACCAGGGGATCCCCGATGTCTTATGTTTTTGATTACTATTTTAAACATTCAGAAAGATGTAAAGAATGAAACAGGTATAAAGGATATGGCACCTGTCTACCCACTACTCAGTTTAAGAAATAAAACATGACTGTGTTTCCTCCTGATCACATTTCTCTTCCTTTCCCAAGAGTAACCTTGCTACTGCTAATTTAATTTTCAGCTTCTTAGCATGGTGATGCACCACTTGACCGATGGTTGAATAAGGTTTTAGTTAGATGGAAGTACAGAATGGGGACATCCCTGGTATGTGTGTAGTGGAGGAGAGACTAGAGGTAGAGTAGCCATTCGTTCTGCATTCCCTTGAATAAATATTAAATTCTTATGCTGTGAAAAGTACTATGTTGGATGCTATTTGAGATGGGTTATCAAGCATAGGTCCTTTTTTCTTGGAGCCTTAGAGTCTGGTCAGGGATTAAAGACCTATATATACAGAGTAACTATAGTACAGGGGTGGGGGAGTAGTGTAGACTAATCCAAGCTGTGTGACCAGTCGGGTGCAGATGGAGGTGCTGTGCCGGGAAAGACTTGCTTGGAGTACTATGCCTTGATTCACTTGTCAGCAAAGTATAGGATGGAGTGGGGCAGAAAAGGGGCTAGAGTCAGGGAGAATGGTTAGAAAATGATTTCAGTAGTTAAGTGAGAGAATAAAATCTCAAATTAGAACAGGGGCTTCCCTGGTGGCACAGTGGTTGAGAGTCCGCCTGCCGATGCAGGGGACATGGGTTCGTGCCCCGGTCCGGGAAGATCCCACATGCCGCGGAGCGGCTGGGCCCGTGAGCCATGGCCGCTGAGCCTGCGCGTGCGGAGCGTGTGCTCTGCAACGGGAGAGGCCACAGCAGTGAGAGGCCCGGGTACCGCAAAAGGAAAAAAAAAAAAAAAAATTGAACAGGATCAGGAAAAAAGTGATACAGGAAGATTCCTGAGGAATTGCAAGGATCTGGAAGCCATAAGAGACAAAGATGATGACATCAGGGTTTTGAGACTACATTAACCAGACACTAGGAGAGAGGGACCTGTCCATTTTGGTTTGAG